GTTAACTTTCATCAAGTGGAAAAAGTTAGCGTTCATTCTCCAGCTTCACTGTGCTAATGTGTTTATATTATGCTAACATAGCTGTGTAGCTAGCCACCACGTAGCACATCCTTATATACCAGCTAGCCCAACTTCAGTAACCCCACAAACGCCACTGCTGTTTAGTTTTCTGTCTTCAGGCGTACCACAGTCATCAAGTTGGCACAGCGATGGCAACTCAGCAACCTGCTCTGTAACGTTCCATGTTCTGCCACTTGCCATTCCTAAATTCTTCCACTTTGCAATAATCTCACTTACAGTTTATCAAGGAACACCCAGGAAGAAAGAAATCTCATTACCTCACTTGCAGTTGCAATGCTGGTATCCTTTTACAGCACCACATTTGAATTTAGTGACCTCTTTAGGATGACGCGTTCATTTGCAAATGTTTGTAAAGGCCGACTGTATGGCTAGCTGGTTGGTTTTATATACTTTTGTCTATATGGTGGACGTTACTGATACCATCTATGTTAAGATGGTATCAGTAAGCAGGAAAAGACTTTCCCGTCACTATTAACATCAGAGAAAAAGAAACCTTCAAGGGTGTTTTGAACAGTTTTCAGTTTACCAGTCCAATGACAGCACACTCTAGAGAATACAAGAATGAGACTGCAGAGTTTCCCTGGCAGGGTGTGTCTGGGCTCACCCTTGCAGACAGGGTGAAAAGCAAATGTTCCTTTCACATGTCAGAAAGAGTCAATTCTACTGGTTCAAGTATTTGACAAGGACGCCTCCCAAATGATGGCATTACATATTCCATCTGGCCAAGGAGTGCCGTGAGAGTCCCTCAGAGGAACTAGGTTGTGAGTAGAAAAAAATATATACTGCTCCACTTAGCCTGCAAGGCACTGACAAGTTACAAATGAATAAAAAAGATGAATGGATGAATAACACTGTTAAACATTAGGAATAAGTGCAACTAACCTGATATATATCCACTAGACTGCAAGGAAAGACGTTTTCTGGTGCAGCCAATGGCCGGAGAAAATCTTTCAGTAACTATCAACCAATATACAACCAATATAACCAGTATATATCATAAATCAAATCACTGAAAATAAGCTTAAATAAGCTCCTTCACACTGTTCTCACTTAATAAACCTAAACATTATGGCTAAAATCTGGATTTTCTCATTTTAGCATATACCAATGTAAATCTATTAGCAGCAACCAAACCACTGGTGTCATGTTCTACACTGACACAAGGTGACACTAAACATGCTCAAAAAACATAAGCACTTATT